AATAAAGGTTGTAATGAAAAGAATCTGCACCTATTTTAGGATTTCACGTTAAACGTCTCTTGAGTTCATTCACTATTGAAGAGAAAAATAAATAAATAAAATCCATTTTTTGCCTCCCAAACATTTCTCACTTATCCCAATACAACACATTCAATGTGATAAGAACCAAAATTTTCAAGAATCAAGCGGGGAAATTTTCCAACAAATGTTATAATTGAAAATTGAGTTATATCTGCTTTTGTCTCTATCATGTGTTATCATCTATTGCCCTATTCTTTTTAATTACAATTACTCTATTGCTATGCACGAGATAATTATAAATATTTATTTTTGTTTTAAATTTTTTTTAATAAATAAATTATGTTTTTTAAAATTTTTTACAAAAATAATTTAACAATCTTTTCACTAATCATAGTGTATGGAAGAAGTTGAAAAGGGTACTGCGATAACTATACACAAATTGTATCTATAATTATTTGTATGAGGGAATTTTAAATATTGATTCGGAGATTTTGACCAAATCAATAAATGCAGACATGTGGAAAGACATGTGAATTGAAAAAAGTTAATAAATGCTGATCAGGAAATTTTGGCCAAATCAATAAATGCTGAGTTTTTTGTTAAATAAAAAATAAAAAATTTAAAAAATTCAGATTGAGATATTGAAGCTCCCACTGACATTATGGGTTAAAAATCTCCTTTTACTTAATATATAGTATAGATAATTGGTAGATTAAGTGGATGTTGATGTCAATACATTATTTTTTGGCTGGAGCATCTTTCGAATATTAATTTAGCAAAATACACGACTCCTAGGCATATCCTAATTAGCTTGAGAGCCTCAAGTGTCAACAGCAAAATCATCCTCTGCTGATCCTAGTTTTGTCGAGTTTCCATAAAGTTTTTGAGGTCAAGAAACATAACCATAAAGAGAGTACATTTGCTTGCATCACTAAAATGGGATACAAAGTAGAAGAAATATGTGAGTCTTATACAATTTTTATCTGATGTTTGATTGTATGATAAAGAGAAAGAGATTAAAAATGAAGAACATGTAGAATCTACACCAATTTTAGTTTAGTACATGTTTTATATAGTGGTTTCGTTTGGTGTAACTGTTAAAATAGATTATAGATTATGACTTTAATCAGAAGCTAATAATCTGTTTGGTGTAGCTGTTGGATTATAAATTTAAGTTGTTGAATAATGTTTAAATAAGCTGCGAAATAAATTTTTCAATTAACTTTTATTTTTTGTTATTCATTACTTGTCTACATTTCTCATAAAAAAATAATAATAATATTCTATAATCCATTTGGGTCTTTTTCTATTTTTAAAAAAATAAAAAATAAAAAAATTTAAGAGTATAATCGTAAATTAACATGTCCACAGCAGATGCTGATAATCAGAAATAAGGGGTGAGTAACTTCTCAGAATCATCTTTTTTGACTTAAAATAAGTTGTTAGAATTAGAAATTGTTTGAAATAAATTTAACCAAACAGTTTAAAATAACTTTTCAAAAGCCAAAAATTATAAATTGGCTCAAAAAAGCCCAAACAAACACTCCCAATATTAGAAGCAAGATACACATACTGTTTGTACAACTAAATATAAATATATACTGTATAGATATAATGAAAAAATAAGTAGTTGTAACTATTTTGTCATTGGGTTGGCTTTTTGACTTTTTGGTTTGAGAAGTGGGTTGGCTTTTTGACTTTTTGACTTTTTTGATTATATGAACCTGTGCTCAAAAGCTTAGTTTGGAAAGGGCTTTTGACTTTTTGGCTTTTTTGATTTTTTTGTGAGAGAAGAGTGTAATGATTATGGGGTTGAATGGGATGTTTTGTCTGTTGTGGCTCATGAGCCTATTCTATCTTTTATGACTCATTGAGCCAAAAAAGCCCAATGAGCCCTTGCCAAACCAACCGGTTAAGTCACTATGTTAATCCTCAACTTTATATAGATCAATAGTATAGATTAAAACCCTAAATAACTTTAATCCTAGAATCAACAATTAAATAGAAGAAAATGAGATTAAATAATACCATAGATATGGTGAAATTACAGGGTTTAGAGATTTCTGGGATTTTTTTTTTTTTTTTCCCTCATCCAATCATTTATCTCATCTATTTTATAATCTTATCATATATCTAACCATTTATCCAATCTAATTCTATAATATAATTTAACCCTCACAATCATATCATTAATCTCATTTAATTTGATAAAAAAAATAATTCAACAATCAAACATCGTCCAAAAGTAATGCATACTGCACAATCCGAGGCTTGCCTTCACTTCAATCAAAGTTTGTTTATTGGTTCCGTCTGACTACCACTTAACATTATTTTTATTTGGCCAAGTGATGGAAGCCACTTCGTTTGATCGGGTTTGCATTTTTTTTAATCAAAAAACACCAATAATTTGTTTCTTAAACTATTCAAAAAGAAATAACTTACTTTTCAAAAAGTTGTTCTCAAATATTCAAAAGCTATTTTCGCATAAAAAAACAAAAACAAAAAGCATAGTTGTTTTAGAATTTTTCGTTGCATTTATTTCCAAAAACATAATAAAAAAATAAAAATAAAAATGAAAAAACATAACCAAACCAAACAAACTTTTCTAAATTCATCACCCAAATAATATCCACCCACCAACTTAATATAAGAAATTTGTTATAATGTGGTATTCATAGATAAGGTTAATTACATTTAGGACATGTTTGATTGGATAGATTAGAACATGAGATTGGAGTTATTAATCCATGAGTCCAATTATCTTATGTTTATTTTAACATTTTGATTTAAGATTATTAATCCAATGAATAATTAATCCAACAAATTTTTAAGATTATTAGTAATGGGACAAGAGTGGTATTAATAATCCAATAGATAATTTATCTTATTAATCCAATTAGATAGTAAATACCACATTAATTTGATAGGATTATAAATACCTCACTATTAGTCTTGTGAATCAAATATGGCATTAGAGTGTATTTGTTTTGAGAGATTATTCTATGAGATTGGACTATTGGTCCATCCGGACAAATAGTCTATTGTTTGATTCAATGATTTTACTTCGGATTAATAGTCCTTCTATTAGTCTCTCATATGAGAGATTATTGTATCCTAAAAGGGGAGGTGAGATTATTTCGATGAGATTAGTATCCCATGGATCTGTTTTACTCTCATGTTTGTTTGGGTGGACATGAGCTTGGGATTGGACTAATAATCCAATAAAATTATTAATCTAATGTTTGGTTAAACAATCGAAGTACGGACTAATTATTTTAAACTTGACTATTAGTTAAGATAGGATACATAATCCAACGGATTCGTAGTCCTAGGATTATTAGTCATGGGAATGCTAATCCAGTCCGTCCAAACAAACATGGCCATGTTATTACTTAATAAACAATTAGAAAATAATATAATAATCTTTTGAACATTTATAAATTATTTTTTTAGTGTTATTAATTTAAAATTATATATTAAATAAAAAATATAAATTATAAATTTAATTTAATTGAAAATAATAAATTAAAAATTATGGCCTTATAAATTAAAAAATTTTAGTGTTGTTAAATCATAAATTATAAATTATAGATTACAAATTTAAAATTATATATTAAATAAAACTTATAAATTATAAAAGTAAAATAATCTTTTAAACATTTATCCTTATCCAGTCTGTCCAACCAAATATTAAATTCATTAAAAATAGTCCCATGACTATACAAAGATAGGATATAAATCTAGTTTAATCAAATAGTCTGGGAACAATGTATCCCAAGACTAACAGTCTGATGGATTATAATTTCCCCTTATCCAGTCCGTCCAAACAAGCACCCCCTTAGTCCTCAAAGTAAGCGACTTGTGTAATTTTAGTATTAATGTTTAAATTATATCAATTTAGTCTCCACAATATAAAAAGTATTTCAATTAAATCCACTAACCTAACTTCATTTGTAATTGTCATAAAAGTCAAAAGATAAATGTGAAAAGTTAATTAAGACAATTACACTTTTAGCCCTCAAAGTATACAAACTATGTCATTTTAATCCTGAATATTTAAATTGCGTTTCATTCCTCAATTTACAAATGAATGTTTCAATTTGATCTCTCAACCTAATTTTGCCACTTTCCATCTAAACCAAAGGCAAAACATAGAAACCAAAAATACACATCAATAAAAGATGGAAAATATTTGTCATCCAAAACTATATATAAAAAAATACTAGATGGCGCAACATGAGAAAAAGCATTTCTCTTGACGAAAAAATCATCAACGTAAGCTTTGGAAATATTTCTGTCACTACAAGAAAATGTAATTTTGGTGACATTTTTGGTGCAAAAAAAATAAAAAATAAAAAATAAAAAGCACTTTTCATACATTACGGACTAAATTGAAATAGTTTAAACATCAAGAACTAAAATGACACAAATAACATACTTTGATATTAAAAAGGTAATTAACGTTAATAGATGCAAGAGAATAGAATAAAGAATTTAGATGGATTTGATGGGTTGTGCAGTATGTAACTCCTACCAACTAGTGTTCAGTGTAAAGATAAAGTTCCTAACAAAAATATTTTTCCATTTATGACAAACATTGATTTACCCTATCACCACCTTGCCTTTGCTACATCATTTTAATCCTCATGCATCAGCTACTTTATGTTTCTGTACATGTATACCCATGTGCTTTGCCACTAGTTAAGGGCTACTTTATACTTGAGCTTCTTTACACAATAAAAGCCTATGCGAAACACCCTTGCATTTTTCAAACTGCGTCGGTGTTTGGAAATTGGATTTTTTTGTAAGTTTTTTTAGTTGTAAGATATTATTGGAGAAATTTTTTTTGTATTTGGAAAGATAATTGGGTTTTTTGTGATTAAATGTGATGTTTGTGAGAGAAAAAATGAAATGATTATGGGATTTGATGTGATATTTTGTTTGGATTTGTTTTATTTTTGTTCTGTAACTAATTTGTCTTTTAGTGGAAAAAAAAAACAAAAAAAAATCCAAAAACTAACTTCCCAAACACTCCCTATAAAAGCTAAAAAATCATGTTAAAAAGCCTTTCCCAAACAGGATACTAGAAAAAGAAATACGACTCAATGCAAGAGACACCTGCTAAAACGGGTAGTTTAAGTTGTTTCCGTGACTCAAAATCATGTCACTAGAGACCCTAATGATGAATCTTAGGGTTGGGACAAGTCATCATTACAATATTAGGAAAACAAAGGGAATCAAAAAGCATGGACGATTCTTTCCACTATTTGAGAGGCAGAACATTTCAAAACTTTACCTTTCATGACAAAGTAACGATTTTTCTTTATCATTGCAACAATATTCGTCATACTTTATCTCACCTTTATTCAACACTCTCTCTCTCTCTCTCTAAATTGGTTCCTTTTCCAATTCAATGTGCTGCATTGTCTTTCAAACTGTCATTGTATAACTCACAATAAAAGTCCAGTTAAGTCACTTCCTATACCCAGAAACACCAATAGTTATAATGGCTGAAGGAGCTTCAAAGTACCTCTTCTTATGTCTTCTGTCTGTTCTTACTATATGCTCTTCAGGTATGTATACTGAGCATTCATATTCTTCATGTTTAAGAATTTGATGTAAAAACCAAGAGTTAAGCACACTCCAATTGTATGCAAAGTGCTCGAATTTCTGTGATTCAGTTTGTCTTTGTTTCTGGAAGCCAATTACTTGTGTGAATTTTCATAGACACTTCTTATTTCTATTATTTATTTTGTTTTCTATTATGATAGATCAGTACTAGCTAGTAGCTTAACTAAAATTTAAACCTCATGCTTCATTTGTAAGAATCTTGAACTCCTAATTCATACAATTCATCATTTTATGTTTCATCCTAGCAGGAACTCTAGTGGGTTTCTCTTATGATGCAAGGAAACAATCTTCGGTTGACACAATATCATTCCTGAAGCTCAACAAGGTCTACCCATCGCAGATTAGGGTCTTTGTTGCAGATCACCAGGTTTTACATAGTCTATCCAACACTAGTGTGTTTGTTGATCTCTACTTAAACGAAACCCTTGTTGAAAATCTGATAAACTACAAACCTTCTACGGTATCATGGCTTAAAACCCATCTGACAACCTTGATTCCACATGTAAACATCAAAAGCATAATAGTAAATGGAAGCAAACATGACTTGCCTGGAAAAAATGACATTCCGAAGCTTCTCCCCACTTTGAAATCAATCCATGCAGTCCTTGGGAGTCTTCATCTCGAGGATCAAATGAAGGCATCAGTATCATTTTCCCTGTCATTCTTGGAGAACTTGAACAGACAACAAAAGGAGGACCTAGATAGGGTGTTGGAGTTTATCAAGAAAGTTAGGTCTTTCGTCATTGTAGAAGCCACTGTTGATGGTGAATTGAGCATGGGAGAAGGGACTGTCAAGTCCGTGATCAAAAGAGCTACATCGGCTTCTTCCGTAATTCCTGGTAGAGATGTTTCCATGGTCTTGACAATTAAGAGCTCTGCTGTTCCTAGTACCATAGAAGTGTCTGAATTCAGTGATAAGGTCTTGAGATCTATAAAGAATACCAGTCAAGTGACAGGGAAGATAATTGGGTTGTTTGCAGAAGTGTCTCCACCAAAAGAATTTGAGCAAAAAGAGCTTAAAAGAGAACTCCTCGACACAGTCTACCCACCAACTCTCCCCACCGCACCAGTCACTGTCCCTCCAGATAGTAATCCCTCACCAGCAATTGTCACCATTCCATCTACCTATCCGGTAACAGTTACCCCCACCACACCTGTCCCTGTGCCCTCTACAAATCCCGTGAATTCACCAGTACCAGTAACCAATCCTGTTACGACACCTAGCACAGTTGTTGGGGCGCAACCGACGACTAACCCTGTAACAACCAATCCAGATCCATCAACCGGAGTTCCTGTCACAACACCGGTCACAAACCCCGTGGCACCTCCTGCAACAACAGGTGCACCGGCGGTTTCAGGGCAGAGCTGGTGCGTGGTGAAGAGTGGAGCGTTGGAGACTGCAATTCAGGCAGCACTTGATTATGCATGCGGGATTGGAAGCGTAGATTGTTCAGCAATCCAGCAGGGTGCGAGCTGTTACAATCCGAATACTCTTGAAAACCATGCTTCGTATGCCTTCAACAGCTATTATCAAAAGAACCTGATGCAAACTAGCTGTGACTTTGGAGGGGCTGCCATGGTAACTAACACGAATCCAAGTAAGAGTAGAAATGCCAATTGGTGTTACTCTTCAGTCTTCATTTCGTTTCCTGCATATGAAACAGTATTATGTTAGATGCTTCAATAGATCAAATTCATTACTCATCCTCCTGATACATCTGCAGGCACTGGTACATGCGTTTACCAATCATCACTGTCTTCATCTTCATCACCGATGACAGCAACAACTCCAACACCAACAACAGCATCAACAGCAGGGGCAACAATACCCGGGTATAGTGTTCTACTCTATTGCTATGTATGGAACTTTGTGCTACAACTCTTTTGGTATGAATAAATAACACTTGCTCATCTGTTTTTTCTCAACTTCATTTCCAGCTCTGGTTCTCCTCCCACAGTGTTAAATTCAAGCAACCCTTCTGCATCAGGTAGCACATCCATTTTTGATGGTAGTCCTCCAAGTAACACCTCCTCAATATCCACGGCAACCAGTTTGCAACCTTTCATCGACTGTATCATTCTAGCAACATCCATAGTTGCGGGAAGATTTGTCCTGGACATATAGAGGCATGACTTCGCCATGGACATCAAGATCAGAAGCTCATAGATTCTTGAATTCAGGGGTTAGGCCGTTCCAGCTCAGTACAAATCAATTCTCACAAGAAAGAAACAAGTGGTGAGTCCTTCAAGACGAAATTCTAACTATATTATGTTCAGATGCTAGTAAACACTACCTGAGATGTGAAGATGTGAATTGACGAAGGTACAGTGGCTTGCACAAAACACCATAACATGTATTGCATTTCATGTTGAGCTACAAACATGTATGTTTATATATGTTCTACGTAGTAAGTCAGTTAGGTTGCTGTGAAAAAGGGTTTGCTATCCCATATTTTGTATGAAATTGTAGTTCTATGTGCAGCAATGCTCATACTTTGCAAAACTAGGGCAGATGTGTTTGTCAATCAGAATCAAATGCACTGTATACAATCAGTACATGTGTCATAAGTCATGGAGTCATTTTCAGGAAGGCCAAGTCTGCAAAGGGAAATAAACATGACTATATAACTACATGTATCAACCTCTTGCTTGAATTAAAATTTGTTCGTATTTCGCACTGCAATAGAAGAGAAGATTTCATAAAACGGCAACCACTGACAAGAAAATTTATTTTGAAGCTTAAAATTTAAGTGTCAATTTAAGTGAACCTCAAAAGATCCTATTCCAGCGGACATGACATGTTCCACGATTAAACAAATTTAGTTAACAAAACTAAGCATATGCAAGACTTCAATTGAAATTTTAACTATACAATGCCAACAACTTTAAGGTTAAAAATTGGAGCAACAAAAAGAGGGTTTTCTGCTGTGACATATATAAAAAGAAAAAGCCCTCTCTGACTAACATTTCTACGAATAAAATAGCATCTACAGCCTTTTCTGATCTCCTGAAATTGACTTCCTAGGTACTGTTGCTTTTTACACCATAATACCTAAAGAAGAAGTGTCATTTTAAGTGAACCTCAAAAGATCCTATTCCAGCGGACATGACATGTTCCACGATTAAACAAATTTAGTTAACAAAACTAAGCATATGCAAGACTTCAATTGAAATTTTAACTATACAATGCCAACAACTTTAAGGTTAAAAATTGGAGCAACAAAAAGAGGGTTTTCTGCTGTGACATATATAAAAAGAAAAAGCCCTCTCTGACTAACATTTCTACGAATAAAATAGCATCTACAGCCTTTTCTGATCTCCTGAAATTGACTTCCTAGGTACTGTTGCTTTTACGCCATAATACCTAAAGAAGACTAAATTTACCGCTTCGAAAGCAAGACCACGATCAACATTGACATAGAAACCACGATTTTGAAACTAGAGCTTTCCCAGAAATTCTGTTTCTCACTGCCCAAATCCCCACCCTGTTGCTTCGTTGCGAGCTGATCCCTGAGTTCTTTCAGAGCTTTGTCCCGCCGCTCACCCATCTGTTTCAATGAATAAAAGGTTTCAAGAAACATGAGTGAAAAAGCATGATGCAATAAAGGAAAACATATAGAGATTTCAGTCTCTTAAACAGTAGATTTTGGCCTCTCCTTAAAGTAGATAGCCCTTCATCAATTATTATAGAAACTGCAGCGCCATTCTTTGTTTTTCTTTTGTTTTTTTTTTTTTTTCCCTTTTTTGGCCTTTTCACAATAACATAAGAAAGTTGTTATCTGCGCCGTGGCAGTCCATTTTTTGGATAGGGGATCTGGAAGCACATTAGCTGATTGTTGATTATTTAGCTTGATGGGGACCACATTTTTCACAAAAGATAATATAAATTCTCAACCAGGGCAGCTTTGATGTGCTAGAACATTATGATGCCACTAGTTTCGTTCAAAGTATGGAGCCATCTAGATGATATGAACATAAATTCTCCAAAGACATGTATATTGAGTTTTTCTACCAAACCCAACAAATTTCCCAAGCTTAACCACTTTTAAACTCATTTCCCAAACTCATGTTGTTATGTGTAGTAGTGTTTCGTAAACACTTCCTTTGGTTTGAAATTGTGTTTTCAAAACGACTTCAATTAATTTACCATAAAACATTTTGAAGTCATATTTTCAAAACACAACTTCAAAAACAACATAAGGTTGGGAAATAAGTTAAGAACTTGCATCTTGAAAACAAGTTTTCTAATAACTCAGGCTTGGCACCATGCACTCGAATGGGTTCACTTCTACAGAAAATTGAGAGTATTGAACCAGTGACAACCAAATGAATACATCTGAAGCTTTGAATGACATGCATATATGCATTCCATTTCTAAGAATAAAAAAAAACCAGTTACATTTTGGGTAGGAATGATAATATTACCCTTTGCAGCTTTCGTGTCTGAGCACGAGCTTCCTGGAGGCAGAACTCCAACTTCAAAACCCTCTTTTTCAACTCCTGATCCACTCTCCTATGCTTCTCCAACTATTACAACAAACAAATCAAAAGCTCTTAAACAAACCAGAACCACATGAATTACAAACAAAATAAACCCAGAAAATGGAGTTAAAAAAGAACCAAGAGTAAGAAACTAAAATCACATTTAACACAATGTACCTGGGATACCAATTCCTTGGTTTTGAGCTTCCAGTGAGCAGACATAATCCTGATTTCATCTCTCAGTTTGCGTATTTCTTCATCCTTCAGAGTCAAAAGCTTATTGATCTTTTCAAAGTTTTTTGGAGAAATCTCATCTAATATTTTCCTTAGTTCACAATCTTTGCTTGCTCCAGCTTGGGCTATATTTTGCATGATATCATGCTCAATTCTTAAAACTTCATCTTTCAGTTGGTTTTGTGAGAGTTCCCTTGCTTGAAGATCTTTCTGCAAAAGATCTAATTGCTCTCCCAGCCTATTCACACGAACTTCATGTTCTTTTAGTGAACTGTTCTTCTCATCTAATTCCTTTAACATTGCCAAACACTGAAGTTGGGCTGATTGAGCTGATGCAGCACTTGCATCTGCAGTTGCTCGAGTGGCTGAAAGCTGTGATCTCAGATCATCCAGCTCCTTGAGGTGCTGCATTGCATTAAAAATTACATTGAGGATCACCAGTGCAGCAACACTAACATGAACAACTCCTGTACTTGGTAAAGTTACGAGTACAATTCACCGCAACCCAAGAATTCATACAAGTAAACATAATAAACATAGGACTAATATCCATCAGCAGGTAACCATCCAAGAACCAGGCGAAGTCAGTGAAATTGATGTGGGTTTTCATAATTCAAATTCAGAAAGCTGAACATTCTCATAAAATGAGTTCTACAGCTCGTCTTTCTTCAACTCAGAAACAAATTACCAAGTATGCATTTCCAATTGAAGATAGAAAACAAAATAATATTTAGGTGTCATTTGATAAATTTACAATTTACTATTTTTATTTAAGAAAAACATTAAAATGTTTATGTTTATTTTTGGTAAAAATGAAAACAAAAACATGTTTGATACACATGTATTGTAAAATTTTATTTTGACCCAAAAAAAAAAAAAAAAAGGGAGACAGGATGGTCAGCTGGAGGTAGTGGCCGAAGGTGGTTGTCGATGGTGGCTGGAGGTGGTTATTGGCTGCCAAGGTGGTGGCCAGAGGTGGTTGGTTGTGGCCGGAGATGGTTCCAACCACGGGAGATGGTGACAAACGGTCGGAGATGGTGACCGAAAGTAGTTTTTGGCAAGAGGTGGTGGCCGTTGCCACTGGTTGGCGGTGGATAGCAGCGGTCAGAGGTGGTTGTTAGTAGCAATAGGAGGTTGTAAGAGTAGGTCACTCGAGAGTCAGGACGGTGGCCAGTGGCAGTGATGAGTGGATGGCGGGGCTAGAGGGGATGGGAGTTGGAATGAATGAAAAAATATACTAAACATATGAAACCAATTTTTTGTGGTTACAAGAATTTAGTAAATTTTGTAAATTATTTACAAGTTTTTGAAAACGAGAATAGATACCAAACGAATTTTTGTTTATAATTTTCAAATTTTTTGTAAATCTAAACATAAACATTACCAAACAGGCCCTTAGGGTCCCTATGGATTCACTTCTAAAAGAAGTTTTCAGGTTCTGAAGTAACAAAATATGATTTCTGTATACCCATAAGTAGAGACTTGAACTATGACGAGGTTCAAAGACAAGGTCCAGTTAAGATCCAATAGAAATAAAAAGTGGTTCAAAGACAAAAGAGCTCGTAAATAGTACATTTTTTAAAGAAATTAATAACTATTATATCAGAAATTTTAGAAGGAAGCAACTTAGTTCATTGATTCTGACATTACTTAGGGTGTGTTTGGTAACGTTTACGTTTTCAGTTTATATTTGCAAAAATTTTATAAATTGGTTTTTGTTTATTTTTAGAAAAATATAAACTACAAATACGTTTGGTAATTGAACAAATGTTTAAAAAAAATTTAAAATATAAAAAAGAGTGAGAAATGGCAAGGGGTGGCGAAAGACGGTGGTGGAAAGTAGTGACGGTGGATGGTGGGTAGCGGGTGGTGGTGGGTGGGTGGGTGACAGTAGCGGGTGGTAGCGAGTGGGTTGTGGTGGTGGTGGTGGCAGGTGGCGGGTGGTGGTGGGTGGTTGGTGGGTGGTGGGTGGTGGATGACAGGTGGGTGGTGGTGGTAGTAGTAGTGGCAAGGGGTGGGTGGTGGTGGCGAGTAGGTGGCAGGTGGGTGGTGGTTGGTGGGTGGCTGGTGGCTGGTGGTGGCAAGTGAGTGGTGAGTGGTGGTGGCAGGTGGTAGTGGGGGGTGGTGGCGAAAGATGGTGGTGGAAAATAGTGACGGGTGGTGGCTAGTGTTGGGTGGTAAAAACAAAAAAAAAATTCAAAACTCAAAACGGAAACACATTTTTTATGTTTTCATTTTTTGACCAAATTTATAAACTGAGACCACTGATTTATAAATCTAAAATTTTATCAAACAAGTTTTTATTTGAGTTTTTCAAATTTTTGTAAATATAAACAAAAATTTGAAAACGTAAGTGTTACCAAACGGCACCTTAACATTAATAAGTACATTATTAGATATCATATCAGTATTCACTAAAAAAAATGCACCTTATTATCAAACTTACATGCTCCTTACATAATTAATTACATACTAAAACAGTTTAAAAAATCATCCAATCATTTCACTAGTCATGAAATCCACTTTTCTTACATTACATAAAGTATGTCATACGGGCATACACGATCCTTTAGATACTGCATATTTAACAAGTCATTCACGCTCCACACCTTTCATGTTTATTTGACATCAACTCATTGTGCTAGGTTGGAAAAGTCAAGTTTTAAAATGGATATTTTAACTTCAACGAACTGCCTATATGTAAGTGTTTGAAGTGTGAATTCAAACTGTGCTATGTTTCCCTTCATATTGCCATATAGAGGTCTTCAAAGATGAAAACAACTGTGTTTTTTTTGAGAGACATGCTAATTTGTTTAACACGTTTCCTCAAGCGTTGTATTTTCAAACCCTGACGAAGAGAAGTTTTAAATACGTACTTGAAATCCGATGAGAAACAAGTAAGCATTACGTATAGAAAACTAGGAAAATTAAAAATGAAGTAATATTCAAGCTACAATTTTCTTGTTTGATATTTATCACCCTTCACTATTATTTGTAATAACAATCTTTATTGTGTTACCAACAACGACAAGAAAGTACAATATTTTATTTTAACGCAATGCAGAAACCTCAATACATGTTGCAAATATTTTCCCTGCAGAAACGCTCCACAGGAGGAATTCAGTACTATACTATGCATACTATGCAGTTGCCTATGTTATATGGACCCTCCTAAATTTGTACAAGTACCTGTGAGTCGATGACACAACCCTTGAGTTAAGTTAGGTGTGTGACATGAGATTCATGATTAGATATTATCGTTTCTCTTTGTGGTTTGATTAGTTCAATAACTGTGTCTTATTTATTGGGTAAAGTTGGGAAAAGAAATAATATTATAGTATGATTCTTATAATATTCCCACTCACCCAGAAAACAAACAAGAAAAGCCAAAAGAGAGCCCAAAAAGATGAGGATCAGATGCGTCTGGCAAGTTGGAGCCTCACACAGCAAGAGGCTGGAACCACACAAATCAACCACATAAACTCATGCAAAATTACCAAAACCTCAATCATGGAATTAGTCACCAAATTCAAACCTCCATCATGGAATTAGTTACCAAATTCAAAATAATAATAATAATAATAAAAAAACTAAGTTTAGGAAGACTAAATAAGTCTACACTTTTTATCTTTTTATCTTTTTGGAGTCACATCAATCAACATCTCCTCTCTACTTTTCTACACATCTTTTTATAAAAAGTCAAAAAATACACTTATTTAGAACATCCAAACAACCCCTAATAATAGAAATCAAGAGAAAGCTATACAATCAAGTGCATAAAAAGAAAACAGAGCAAAATCATACCTTCCCAGCAGTAGATGCGGATGCTTGAAGCTGCCCATTTCTCTCCTCTAAGCCCTTCTGCAATCTATACATCTCCTCCTCCATCTTCTTAGCTTTGGCCTCTGCTTCCTGCAAAAATTTAAAAAACAAAAAAAACAAAAAAACAAAACAAAAACAAAAACAAAAACAAAAACAAAAATTAACAAAATTAACACAAAAAGAAATCACAAAATTAGAGAAGGCCCCACAAAGAACATCACTTTACAGAGAAGAACAAAAAGTTGAAATGATTTTATTTCCAAAGTACACACAGATACGAACAAATATACATACAAACACATTTACAAATATACAGATTTACATGCCTGTCTTGATAGGGTCTGGAGAGCAAATGAGTGCTCCTGCGAAGCGAGACGGCTTCGGACCTCCTTGAGCTCCACCGCCAGCGACACCACGTTCTGCCGGAAGCTCTGCTTCTTCTCACTCAGATCCTTCAACAACGGATCGATATTCCTCGGCGAAGACGACGACGACGACGACGATGAAGGCCTCTCTGAACTCGACATCAATGGCGGAATCGAAGTAATCTAAATCAACGGTCAATTCAAATTTCTGAGCTCCGAATGTGTGGTGCACCGTTGATACACTGTATCAAGCCCTAAAACGAGTTGGATGAGTACTAGTTGTAGCGAAGGCTAGCCACCTCTGCATGTGGAGAAGAGTGGTTACGCGTTTAATTTGAATAAATAATAGCAATAATGAGTATTATTATTATAGTCTCGAGAAAGAAGAAAAATTGAAAGACTGTAAGGCTTTGTTTGATTTGTATAAGACATAATTTTTGAAAAAAAAAAAAATTAATTTTTGCTCGTACATCAATTAATCTCTTTTTTTCTCTCATCTCTCCTCTCTCTCTTTTCCAATCATTTTTTTTTTCACACATTTATTCAATTATAACAAAGCCTCCGTTTGGGAAGCGGGTTGCCTTTTTGATTTTTTGACTATTTTAACCTGAGACTAAAAAATCTGATTTGGAAAGAAATTTTTGGCTTTTTATTTTTTTGACTTTTTTTATGAGAGATGAGTGTAATGGTTATGGGTTGGATTTGATGTTTTGTTTTTTATGACTAAAATAGCCTTTTTTATTTTTTGTGACTATTTTAGCCCATAACCCACCAAAACCAACTTCCCAAACTATGCCAAAATATCAAATCGTTCTAAACTCTCAAATTCTACAACTATTTTCAAAATATACAATTAAATAAATTAAAAACATTCTAAACTCACTCCCCAAAATTTTTTAAAAAATTTATTTCAAAATACAAACCCAACACAGAATTTTATCCTTTTTTGAGTACTGTAAAACGGTTTGACCATTTGTAGTCAAATTCAAACACAGAGAGAAACCGAGAGTTTCGGAGAGAGAAAATCCAATCTAATTTCTTCTCAATTTTGAAAGAGAAAATGAGACTGATCCAGCAATAAAAACTTGAAAATGAACCCTCGAATCACTGAAAAAGTAAAGTTTAAGACTTTAGGTACCTCTAAATTGATCTGGACAATAATTAAAAAAAACAAAATTGAGGGAAAGATTTTTAAGGAGAGAAAGCAAGTGTTTTAAGTGGAACTGCCAAAGAAATGTCAAAACCGATCTGAGCCACAAGTTTGCTGCTAGTTGCTAGAAATCACAAAAACGAGATTCTCAATTAGCAAAAACATTATCTTTTATTTTCTTTTTCATTTTTCTACCAAAACAAACAAAAACACTTCAAAGCAGTCCACAGATATATACGTACATACATACATACATATGTAGCTCTAGAGAGAGAGAGAAGCACGTACCAATCAAATCTTCGATTCACAGATACTGTATAGCTCTCTGCAATTGAAATCGAAGCTATATATCATCTTCACAAATCAAAATCATAACTGTAATCCGATTCACCGGCGAAGATCTATGTGCACGGTGTAATCAAACAGCTGAGCAATGAAGAGAAGAGCAAAGATGGTGGGCGTGAGTTTAGGGGATTCCGTCTAACATGTCTGAGAGAGAGACACTGGGGTGACGATTGAGGTTCGGATTCGAGAGTTAATTTAAGGATAAATTACACTTCGCCTCCTTAAAAATTTCAACCATATCTCATTTTGGCATTTTATATTTATAATTATTCTTATTTTAGTCTTTCATATTTACAAGTTTTTCAATTTTTATTCAAAAAATTAACAGAATCTGCCACATCATTGACACATTAAATATGCAAAAAATAAAAAATAAAAAAATTGAATTTTTTTTAAAAAATCTAGTAAACTTTTTTTTAAAAATTTTGTTCATAAATATTACTACATTATAGATGTATTTTTTATTTTTTGCATTTTTTATGAATTTTTTACATCACAAATAAAATTGATGTGTTGGTGAGTGATAGATTCTGTTAATTTTTTAGATGGAAGTTAGTTTAAGAGTAAAGTGAAAAGGATTACAAATATAAACGATTAAAGTGGAAGGATTGCAAATATAAAATACTAAAGTAAAAAAAATCAAATTTAAATGATCAAAATGAGAAGAATGGCAAGTATAAAAGGTTAACGTGAAAAAAAAAAAAATTAAACTTAAAAAGTCAAAGTAAAAAAAAAAAAATGAAGCTTTAGGAGGCAAAGTGTAATTTTCCCTTAATTTAATTACAATTGTGTCGATTGTGGGCCTGGTGCGGAGTTCCCGAGCCTTCGGGTTCATGAACTGACAAATACCGAACCTACCGCTGGTTTTGACCTGAGCGCGGCAAATCCAAATTTTGGACTGATACACGGTTTTGTCCACGTGTCCAGACACTGACCGTCGGATGTGAATACAAAAGAAAAGATTCGTATCGCACGGTAGCAAATGAGAAAATAGCTACATTTTTGTCGGCCACGTGTTTGAGAAAATATAAAACTGCATTAATAACCAATAAAAAAAAGTCATGGACTGTAAATAAGTTATTAAATTTGGGAGATTCAAACAAATTTATATGTGCATGAATTTCATACTTATATAAAAAATTTAATAAATTATTTAAAATTCTTACCATAACTCATAACTAATGTGCTATATTAGCTGCCACATGTTTGAAATAAAATAGGAAAAATATCAAAAATGTTAAAGATTCTAAATATTTTATTGGACAATTTTGCTTCATTTGAATTTGCATATGTCAGTCGTTCGGGTGATCATCTAAAAATAAGAGTGATAGTCGCGATTGACAAGAATTACACTGATCGTTCAAACGATCGTCCAACTTGCAAAATTCAAATTATTTGGACGAATTCAAAGCGAATTCAAATTTGATAGATAAATATTTTTGTTAAAAGTTTTACTAAACATTTATATGAGTATAGTATTTGATAAATTATTTTATATATCTAATATTACTCGAGAAACATGAGTGTGTGTAAATTATTATATATATTTTCTTTATCATAATGAGCTGGCCATGGGCTGATGACCCGAGCAAGGATCCCCTCCTTGCCTTCTCTAATTGATCCTCTCATTGCAATGGTTAAGATTCATTTTAAGAGAATTCAACGATTTAGATCATTTTATTAAAAAAAATAAAAATTAAAAAATAATATTTTTGAGATGATCTGGACCATTAGATTCTCTTAAGATGAATCTTTACCAATGCAAGGAGGGAGCCAAGTAAGAAAGGGAAGGGGAGAATCCTTGCTCTGATGACCCGTCTAGTCCAATCCAATCTGATACATGTAGGACTTTGAATAAAATATTTAATTAATAGAGTCAGGTTGTGCTGAAATTTTATACTTATTTAGGTGTCATTTGGTTTTGGCTTTTTTTAGTTAGTTTTTTGGTTTTTTTGACTTTTTTAATCTAAAATTTTTTTAATCGTTTGGTATTCTTATTTGACTTTTTTGACTTTTGGACTTTAGAATGACAAAGACTTATTTTGGGAAGATGGTAAAAAGTGACTTTTTAACTTTTAACCAAGCTTTTGGCTTTTTTAGACAAATGATTTGGGAAGTTGGTAAAAAGTGACTTTTGACTTTTTTGGTTAATGTTTGTTTATGATGTCAAATCATAAATAAAATGACCAAATTACCCCCATTTATTTAAAATATTTACAATTTCACCTATGTAACACATTTTGATTCATGAAGGTAAAATTGTAATTTCACCGTTGGCTAAAAACCAACTTTCCAAATGAAGAAAAAAACAAAAAAGCCAACTTTTGGCGAATTCAAATTTGATAGATAAATATTTTTGTTAAAAGTTTTACTAAACATTTATATGAGTATAGTATTTGATAAATTATTTTATATATCTAATATTACTCGAGAAACATGAGTGTGTGTAAATTATTATATATATTTTCTTTATCATAATGAGCTGGCCATGGGCTGATGACCCGAGCAAGGATCCCCTCCTTGCCTTCTCTAATTGATCCTCTCATTGCAATGGTTAAGATTCATTTTAAGAGAATTCAACGATTTAGATCATTTTATTAAAAAAAATAAAAATTAAAAAATAATATTTTTGAGATGATCTGGACCATTAGATTCTCTTAAGATGAATCTTTACCAATGCAAGGAGGGAGCCAAGTAAGAAAGGGAAGGGGAGAATCCTTGCTCTGATGACCCGTCTAGTCCAATCCAATATACATGTAGGACTTTGAATAAAATATTTACTTAATAGAGTCAGGTTGTGCTGAAATTTTATACTTATTTAGGTGTCATTTGGTTTTGGCTTTTTTTAGTTAGTTTTTTGGTTTTTTTGACTTTTTTAATCTGAAATTTTTTTAATCGTTTGATATTCTTGTTTGGCTTTTTTGACTTTTGGACTTTAGAATGACAAAATTGCTCTTAGTATAGAATGATGCTTTTTTGAGTTATTGTTTGTATGTGGGGTTATTTTGTACTTTTGTAGTTTTTTTATCTTTTTGTGATTTTGTAACTTTTTTTTTTGTCTTTTGTGATTATATAGCCTACAAAGAAAACCAAACGAAGGTTTAATATTTGGATTGTGTTTGAGATTTATAAAAGAGAGTAAATTAAAATACATCTCTGAAATTTATTTAAAATACAAATTGTCTCTTGTAATTTAAAAAATTACAAATACCTCCTTGTTAGAAATTTTTATTTAACATAATTAAGTAAAAAAATAAAATTCATAATTGCTCTCCTATATAATAATTAAATTACTTAAATTATTAATTGAAACATATTTATAATATCATTAAAAAAATATTAATTGACGTCATGATTTATTAATAAAATGGACGACTTGTTATGAAATTAGAAACCTCATGAGGTGAAATGTAATTTTCAAAATCACAGGAGATGATCCGTATTTTAATCAAACCTCAGGGTATTTTTGTAATTTATCCTATAAAATATTAATTATAATTTTATATTATTTTAGTTATAAAATAAATTATAAAACACAAATATATGATATATAATTTTTATGAGACTTACATTAAAACATTCATTAAAATATCAGATTTTACTATGGGATTTTGTTTAATGTTCTAAATTTCAATAATAATTAAAATACATAATTTAATATCACTTTAAGACAAAAATAAAAAATAATAATAATAGCATATATTTATTGGGTTAAGTGAGTAGGCTTGAGATTTTAAAAAATAAATAAATAAATAAATAATTCATAACATTAGGATGGCCAGATTAAATATGATATCGGGATGGGCCAAGTTTAAGATAGCACATACTTTCTTATTATATAGTGCAAACACAGCCTGGCCCAACCCTTCGTTTCCTGACTATCATTTAAGCTTATACAACTAAAAGGGTAAATTAAACTAACTCTTATAATTTGAAATCAAATAATTTAATTCTTACTGTGGAAGGTGAAATTATCTCTACATGGACTCATTATCTTCCAACAACATAATCTTATTTTCCAAATTAATAGCTTCTATTTCTTAAAATATACGAATATAGAGCCTTATCATTAACATCATCATCAATCTCTAACATTTGTATTCATTAAACTCTAGAGATATACAAAAAAATACTTCACGTGCGATTTTACATTCAACATTCTTAAAATATGAATCTATAGCATGTGGCACAATAAGTCAAGTGCAGTTCAATACCTTCAAAGGCTACAAATTCCAAAACTTAAGCCCGGTTACAAAAAATGATTTTCGAACCCATACATGAGAAAGCCCTTGGCTTGTCAAAATAATTACAACAAAAGAAAAGAGTCTTGTGCTCTCAAAATACATTTCCACACCCTTAATTCGGCGAGATCACCCATCATTTCCTACACAAATAATCTCATAGGATGAACACAAAGCTCAGTAAGAAAATCTTAATAAAGTATATACATTTTATATGGTCTCCGAAGATGAATGCGTATGTCATGTTATGCTCAAAACATATAACTCTATCTTTTCAAAATCTTGTGCACAATGCAATTTGAAAATACAACAATTCAATAACTTCAATGTAGTTTAAAGGGTGGTAAATACGACTCAGGTAATCCCTTAGGTTGGTGTCTGCAAGTAGGCATATCAAGCATTACCAATCACCAGTTTACCAGTTGCTAACCGAAAGGCACGTTGTACCTCATCCGTGCGTATTTTCGGTCTTTCACTATGGACACTCAAGCTAACTTAACTAATACCAACTATACCCTCTATCTGAACTTACCAACGTATTTACCCCGAAACAATTCAAAATGATCTTGTTTCACAAAACAATTCCTTTCTCAAAATAATAATTTTCTAATGCAAGATTCAAAATTAATTGCAACAACGATTAAATGGAATAATAATGCAAAATGTAACAATGCATTAATATAGTTCCATTTTCAATTCCATTACACAATCCTCCATTGTAATCGAATTCCCACATCTCTTATCAATATAACATCATAATATATTTCCAAGAGATAATATAACAATATCAACATATATGTATTCTCCACAGGTTAATCATCATTTTCTAAACTTGGTTTTCCAAGACAAATCAACAATAAGCTTCAAAATAAACAATTCTCATTCCTCTATGAAATTTCCTCATTTGATACAAATATAAAAATTTCCTCCCTTATTTATTCACATAACAACTTATCAATCATAAATTTCACA